AAAAAAAAAAAAAAAAAAAAGACACCTGATGGCTTCTTTCACGTGCAGCGCTTCCTAACGACGCTGCCGGGTGCCGCTCCGCCCGCCGAGGTGCCGCACGCCCGCGGGGCTCAGCATCAGGCGGGCGGGCAGCGGCGGGCGGAGGGCGTCCGGAGAAGCGGACTGTGAGCGGCCGCCTCCCCGCAGCCCCCGCCGCGCTGCCGGGCGCAGAGCTGCGCCCGCTCGTGTCCCGGAGCCCGGCCGGGGCGGGCGCTGTGCGCCGGGCGCCGCCACGGCCGCGGGTGGGCTTTGCGGCTGACGCGCGTCATCGCGGGCAGCGCGGGGCCCCGAGGGCTGCGAAGATCGTAAAGTTTGGGTACGCCGACGCCGTCCTCTATCCCAAACCTTCCCTGACTAAACGCGCGGGCAAAAATTGGACGAGATTTTCGTTACTCCAGAAAAATAAACCGGAAACCACCGCCGGGCTCATTTACGGTCCCGACGCCGCCAGCGCCCGGACGGCAGCCAGAGCCCGTCCCGCTCCTCCACCTTCCCGGAGCCGCTACCTGCGGGCGGCACGGTCCCTCCGCTCCGGCCCCGGCGGCGGCCCCCCGGCGCTCCCACGCGAGGCGCGCGGCACGGACCCGTGCCGTACCCGCCGAGCGCCCGTCCCCCGCGGACGGCGCGCGCTCCCCGGGCGCCGGTTCAGCTCCGGAGGCGGGCTGCCGCCGTCCAGCGCCCCCGCGCAACAGAAGCGGCCGCGGCGCCCGCCGTCGGCGGTGCCTACCTTGGCCCCGGCGTGCAGCAGCCCCTGCGCGTCGGCGCGGGAGCAGCAGGAGAGGCGCGGGTAGAGGCCGCGGCACATCGCCTCCGCGCCGCCCGGCGCCTCCGGGGACAGCAGCCGCCGGTCGCGCTTCTTCAGCCGCCGCGGCGGGGTCCCGTTGAGGCACCTTCTCCTCCGGGCGCCGCTCTCTCCGAACTTGGCGTCCCCCTCGAAGAAGCAGAGAGCCACGGCCACCAGCAGCAGCTTGAACGGCAGCATCTTGAGCATCATGCCTGAGGGAGCGTGCGAACGCGCCCGAAGGGGGGGAGGAGGGGAATCCCACGGACTTTTCTTTGCACTTCGGGAAAACACCTCCCTCCCTCCCTCCCGCACAGGCTGCGGAACGGGGAGCGGAGCGGGCGGCCCGCGGGGAGCGCCGCTCCGAGAGGACGGGCGGAGGCGAGCGGGTGGAGGATGCTCGGCGGCCCCGCGAGCGGCACAGGTTCAGCAGCGGCCGCTGCCGCGCCGAGGCGCCGAGGCTCGGGGCGGGCCGGGCAGCGGGCGGCGGCGGCAGCCCTCCACTTGTCGTCCCATAGGAAGGGTGTCCCCGCGCTGGGACGGCGGCGGCGGCGGCCGGGCCGGGCGATGCCCCCTCCGCTGCCGGCGGCGGCTGCGGCTCACTAGGGCTCTCATGTTTCGCTCCCTCTTTTCTTCTTCTTTTTAAGCCGCGCGCGGGGAGGTGCTGCCACCGCGCGCCCTGCACGTCACCCGGCGGC